GTAGGAAAAAAAAAAATAAATTGTTCAATGTACAGGGATGCCTATGCAAAGGTTTCTGCTGGAGGGCAATCTGCTTGGTGCATGAGCTCAAAACCAGAGCTCCTGGACCTCTCTGGTCTTATCTAGCTTTTGACACTTAATTTCTCGATTATTTTGGAGCATAGTATTTCACTACCCCATCCCTTTCTGTTTGCAAGATCAAGCCTATTTTACCTATTACTTTACCCTCTGGAGTGAGTGGAAGATGAAATTTGTTAACAAGTGCCATGTGAGTGCAGGCAAATCTGTAGGTACAAAACCATAATTCTGTGTTTACGAAAATTCCAGATGTTTTCACATTTACACTTCCATAAGGGAAGCTATTTATTTTCTTTCCTCCTTCCCCCTGCCTTTATGTCTTTATTCTGTAGCATTACCAGCAAATTGCATTTCTGAAGAGGCTGGAAAATTATGCAAGAAAAAGTATGTTTCTGTTCATTTATCCCCTAAGGAAAATAAAATAGTGATTTTATTTTCCTTCTTTTTGTGCGTGTTCAGTACACTTACAGAATGCAAGATTCATTGAGTGCGCAAACCTTACAAAATACGAAGTGCCAAATGAGAGCACAGGCATTCATATCAGCAATGACACCAGATAACATGCCTGATATATATTACAGTTTTTAAGCCCATCTGCTTTAGAGTCCAACTTCAGGGCAGCCCCAATTGTTTTTGAGGTGTGGGACTAATCCATACACCTGACAGGCCTGACAGCCACTTCATCTGCATTCAGAGGTGTGTTTTAGAAAAGCCAACTGTCAAGCACATGTGCTCACTTGTGAACAGTTGAAAAAATGGCACTAAAACCTTAAACTTCTAAGTGGACAATAAATTTAGTGGCATTCCTCATCAGAAGCAATTTCTAATGTTATTCTGACACACATAAGATATGCAGCGTAATCAATGCATGCAAACATGCAATAAATTGTTCAAACCATTAGTTTTCTAGAGTAAGAGACGTTGCCATTTGGCTAAACATTATTTTAAAGAAATGCCTGCTATTACATCCTATTTCCTTTTTTCTACTTCTACAGTATAGGAAAAAAGACGCTTCTGAAGCATCGGGAGAGCCTTTTTTTCTGCTTGCTGTGACTGTAGCAAGCTCTGCTTTGCTCAGCTGAGCTTGGAAATGTCTGCAGTACACACTCAAGAGACCTCAGCTTCCCTGACAACATTTGCCTTGTCTCAGTTGAAAGCTACAAGGCAGGGAAGCAGAACCCGGACTTGGAAAAAGCGGCTTCCCTTGACTACAGTTGCTGGAGCTGGACATTTTAACCTCAGCTGAGGACTAATCAGCTCTCTATCTTCAGAAACGTTATTTGCCCAGTATAAATGACATAAACCAAGATCATCATCTTAGTTTATTTTTCTAGAGTCCTTAGCATGCTACATTAACCTGACAATGCTTAATCTGGTGTTCATTTCACAATACACTTCATGCAATTCACAGCTGTAATTGGTTTTACACTGACATTACACGTTTCGACCTAGCCATGGAAAAAGAATAACTCTTAATATTATTTCTCAGAAAAGCGTCCAAGCTCAAACAGCACAGAAGCAGCTCATGCTAGTTTCATGTGCGTATTTCTTTCTTCTGCCTTTTCTTTCACTGCAAGGACAATCACTGGCAGTACCTTTCCTTGTTTTAGTCCATTTGCAATTGAACTACATTTGCTTGATTTCTTATGTCCTGAGGAGTTCTCTCTTATAAAACAGCATTCAAGTATTCTAGTTTAACATCCCCATTTTTCCGAGTTAAGGAACAAAGTAGACTTTGGGCTTCTGTTTCCGTTACGAGTCTTCCAGAGTCCCATAACTGATAGCCATAAAGTCTTCCTTTGTGACACACACTCAGCACTAAAGCCAGAGTATTGCTATTTGGCATTATCCAGTGAAGTGCAAGAAATTAAATAAGTTATGTCTTTATTGCTATAGTACAATACCAAGCAAAGTCACTTTTTAATACAATTGCAAGGGTTTTGTAGAGTACATGTCCCTCCTCTTAGGGCCCAGTAGTTCAGCTGCACTGCAAGTATCAATTAGCTATCACACATCAAATGTCAGTCTAAGAAGATGTGTTGAGTATTCTTGAGTCTGAAGAATCGGACCTTTCATCATACTCATCTTCTGTGTAAATCGGTTGCTTAGACACAATAGGACACCCATCATCAGGGACTGAGATCCTAGGATCTTCTGACGAGCGGGAAGGAAGGACAGGAGAGCTTCGGAAAACGCTGGCTGAGTTGCTAGTGAAAGGACTGACATACTGGGACCGCAGCTGGTACTGCTGCTGCAGCGTCATGGTGTTCCACAGGGTGACGTCATTGGGCAGGAATGGACTGGACTGGTTTCTTGCCAAAGTGTTCCTCAGCATCAGCGGGTAGCGCGGTGGCTGAGGGAAAGGGTGCTGCAATGGTACGGCCAGAGGATTTGGCACGACGCTACTGGAATCAGCAGAGAACCTCAACGTGTCGGGAACTCTAAATGCTGAGCCCACAGACCACTTGGAAGAGGAAATAGGGTATGAACTCAGCGTGTGTTCAAAAATATGCCCATTGGAGGGCAAAACAAGACCATCGGATTCTGCAGAAGTTCTCTCCCCACTGGCCACTGAAGACCGACTAGACAGGAGAACCTCTACAGCACTTACCAGATCACCGCCGCACCCCTTCAGGATCAACTCCAGCACTGTTGGCTTTTGGTTAGGGAAGATCTTTTTCAAGACTTCAAGTGGAGGTCTGTTGGCTTTCAAGCTGAAAGGTAAAGAAACTGTCCCAGAAGGACCTTCTATCAGGAGATGGTTCTGCTCTGGATGGTACTTGGGGCTATCTGGACGGCTCTCTGTGCTCCCACCATTTTTCTGAACTGCATATCCAACCTCATCCACTGAAACAATTTCAGGACTTTCAGGAGTGAAGCAACTTTTGGCTTTAGTCATATCTGGGGAACTCCTTTGGTCTGTGTCTTTGTCACTGTAGGGCTCAGCATTGTCTGCTCCACTGGCATCACCCAACCGCTCCTCATTCATGTCTGTAAAGAGAAGGTAGAGAAGTAAATGAAAAACTAAGGCCAAAAGCTTTTACATACATTTGAGGATACAGTCTTCTTAAAGTGAACAGAGTAGAATCCTCAGGAAAATTAAAAAAAAAAAAACAAAAAACAAAAAACAACAACAAACATTTTTCACAGAGATCCTACTAAAATTAAGGTCTCTTTGCAACATCTCATGAGAAAAAAAAACTGCAAAAGAATAAAGTGATCTGGTCTAGGCACTTTATGCTGCCTTATAGATACCCGTCTCATCCTCCCATGTACAAGAAAAGTAGCAGTAGTCATTTTTCTGCTGCACAAAATACGCTGTACCAATCCTCTCTCACTGGTTACAAGGCAGCAACACACCACTGAAGTGAAACCTTTCTCAGAGGAACTTCGGTACTTTTATATCATAATTCCTCATTAGCACCATCTCACTGACTGTGAGCTGAAGATATCCAAAGGGCTCTTGGGAGACCAAAATTCTCTCTGCAAGTTCAACAGCATTGGTGGAATCACTCCGTCATGACTACTGTCTGAAAGTTGAAGAAGTCTTCAAATAAATCAGTATATTCCAGGTCTGGCTCTGCATAAACTGGTTCCTTCCCCAGCAAGAATCACAAATGTTTCCTCCAAACCCTGGAGCACAGCTGATACCTTGGCCCATTAAGAGCACAGGATTTAGAAAAATCTGGTTCGGGGAGGACCTCTGGAAGACATCTGGTCCAACATCCTGTTCAAAGAAGGAGCAACCTAACATATAGAGCAGGCTGCTTGTGTACCTGCTCCACTGAGTTTTAAATAATTCCAAGGATGGAGACTCCACAACCCCTCTCAGCACTTGTTCCAGGTACCTTGCTTTTTGTGTGCTACACTAAGGGCAAAAGCTGAGCCCAGAGCTGAAAACAAGCTCACTGATCACACTGTCTCCAGATGGACACTCAAAAGTAGGGATACCCCAAATCTCTGTTCACTTTGGTAACACCTGGCCAGAGTATAGAAACCTTTGAAATAAGACTGCTTGTCAGAAAGAAGAAGGGAAAAACAAGAAAGGTTGACAGCTTTCACAGTTTATGCCCAAGGAGGGCAAGGTACTTGCCTGGCAAGATCAGTG